ACCTCCCACTATCGTCCCATTGCTCTTACCAGTGCAGTTTGCAAAGTAATGGAACGCCTAGTAAATAGACGTTTAGTGTGGTATTTAGAGACACCTAAGTTTCTCCACTCGTCAATATGGCTTTCGTAAGGGACGTTCTACCATAGACCCCTTACTACGCTTGGATACATATGTTCGTAATGCCTTTGCGAATAATCACTCGGTTATTGCCATATTTTTTGACCTTGAGAAGGCATATGACACAACTTGGAGGTATAATATTTTAGCCCAAGCCCACTCCTTAGGCCTTTGAGGCAATCTACCATCCTTCCTTAAGAACTTTTTAACTGACAGGCATTTCCGTGTTCGGGTTAATAATGTGCTCTCCCCGGACTTTATCCAAGCTGAAGGTGTCCCCCAGGGATGTGTTCTGAGCACAACACTTTTTCTCCTTGCTATTAATGATTTGGCCTCTAGTCTTCCATCAAATATTTGGTCATCACTCTGTTGATGACTTCACTATTGCCTGTGCAGGCGCTGACTGTCACCTCATTACAGTTTCTCTCCAACATGCAGTCGACCGTGTTTCCAATTGGGCCACCACACGTGGGTTTAAATTTTCCAGCACTAAAACCCACCAAATTACTTTCACTAGACACAGTCATCTCCGATCATCCTTTGTACCTCTATGGCTCCCGTATCCCTGAACGTGATAGTCAAGTTTCTGGGCCTCCTCTTTGATCGTAGGTTATCCTGGAAACCTCACATTACCTCTCTGAAGGCAACTTGTCACAGCCGGCTGAACCTTCTTATAACCCTTGCTCATCTTTCATGGGGAGCTGATCGTCGAACCCTCCTCCGCCTACATTCCACCCTTATTTTATCGAAACTTGATTATGGTGACCATATCTATTCAGCAGCATCTCCTGCTACTCTCTAGCCTTAACCCCATTCATCACCAAGGATTACGTTTATGCCTTGGTGCTTTTCGCTCTTCCCCTGTCGAGAGCCTCTATACAGAAGCAAACGTTCCATCCTTATCCGATCGCTGTGATGCCCATTCCCTGTGCTACTATGTACGCTCTCATGATCTCCGCAATCCTTCCATTTATAGAATGGTCACTGATATTAGTAGACATTATTTGTTCGCCGCCCCTGTTTACTCCGTCCCTTCTCTCTCCACCTTCATTCGCTCTTGTCTTCTCTTCAACTACCACCTTTCTATGTACATGTAGCATCCCACTTTTCCCTACCCCCTGGGAAGTTCCAGCTGTTCGAGTCTGTTCTTTCTCCCTCCCTTGCTCAAAAGCCCAACTGTCTACGGTCGCTTCCCGCTCTTTTTCTTGACCACTTTCACTCTCATTCTCATGCCATTGCCGTGTACACAGATGGCTCTAAGTCTTCTGACGGCATAGGATTTGCAGCAGTGTTTCCGGACAGCGTCGTACAAGGGCATTTACTATCTTCGGCTAGTATTTTTACTGCTGAATTGTATGCCATCCTTACAGCACTTATCCGTATTGCATCTATGCCTTTGTCATCATTTGTGGTTGTCTCAGACTCCCTTAGTGCTTGACAGGCTATACAAAAATTTGATATACTTCACCCCTTAGTCCTCCGTATCCAACTTTGGCTACGCCGCATCTTTACCAAGCATAAAGATATTGTTTTTTGTTGGGTCCCTGGTCATGTTGACGTACAGGGCAATGAACAGGCAGACACTGCTGTGCGGTCAGCAGTACATGACCTACCAGTCTCTTATAGAGGTATTCCATTTACGGACTATTTTGCTGCAATATCTTCCCACCTTCACACCCGTTGGCAACAACGTTGGTCTACTATGCTCGGCAACAAACTTCAATCTATTAAACCGAGTATAGGTTACTGGCCGTCTTCTTATCACAAGTGTTGAGGTTGGGAGACTACTCTCTCCCGTCTTCGCATTGGCCATACTCGTCTTACTCATGGATATCTCATGGAGAGGCGTCCTGCTCCTCTGTGAGAATTGCCAAGCTCCATTATCAGTCAGCCACATTATTGGACTGCCCACTTTATCTACGAGCACGCAGAATTTACCTCTGTTGTTGTCTTCACTCCGCTACTATCTTTACCTTCCCTTCTCGCTGATGGACCCACCTTTCATCCGGACTCTCTCATTGACTTTTTGACAACTAACTAACTTCACAAATTCTGATACCTTCAGCCCTTTCTACTTCAATCTTTTGCTACCCTCTACCCCCGTACTATCCCCTGCCCCGCTGTTTTCTGTAACCTACTGATCATCCCTCCTCCCTTCTGCCATCCAATACCCTCGCTTCCTTCCCTACCCTGCAGCGCTGTATAGCCCTTGTGGCTTAGCACTTCTTTTTGATTATAATAATAATAATGGGAGTGAAGCCACTCTTCACCACACCCTATCATCCCAGCTGTAATGGGAGGATTGAGCGCCAGCATTAGATTCTCAAGTCCATTTTAAGGAAACTTTGCTCCCTTAAACCTAAGGAGTGGCATAGTTACCTACCCTGTGCTTTGTTTGCCATGAGGGAAGTTCCCAGTGACTTTGGGGTTTTCACCTTTTGAACTTCTCTATGGTAGACAGGCCAGACTATGGTAGACAGGCCAGAGGCCCATTGTCCATCCTTCATGACTTGTGGACTAATGAGGCGAGTGCTGAGGTTCAGTCTTACCAGTTTCTCCTTGACCTTAGATCCAAACTTGAGGAGACCTCTGACATAGTTTCGAAAAACCTAAGCTTGTCAATGGACCAGTACAAAACCTATTTTGATTCCAAAAGTCAGAGGAGAAGTTTTAAAGTAGGGGATGAAGTTCTTGTACTTTTGCCGATCAAGTCAAATTATTAGTAGCATGGAAAGGTCCATATAAAGTATTAAAAATTTGTGGGGAAAGTTGATTACCTCAGAGAAGTCAAGGGGAAACCTAAGCTTTATCATATCAACATCCTTAAGAAATATTACCGAAGAAATTCGGTTAACTGCCTTAATAACTTTGACTTAGTTTTTCCACACGAACTTGATACGAAAACTGAAGAATGTAAGGTGTGCATAATTGACACCTCTAACTTAGACAATGATGAAGAACTACATGACTTGGTGACTCTTAACCACTCGGACGCAACCAACATTAATATTAATGAATCTTTGGATGACCATAAGAGACATGAACTACTTCAATGTGCGAGTAACTTTTCAGACGTCTTTACTGATATTCCAGGTGTTACCTCCACGGTAGTCCATAAGATTGACTTAGTGACGGACAATCCTATCAAACGAAAATTATACCCAGTTCCAGTTCACCTTAGGGATGCATTTGACAGAGGTAGACAAATTATTAAAACTAAAGATCATTGAACCTTCAGTATCTTCATATTGTTCACCAGTAGTCATGGTTAAGGAGGAGGATAATTCATATAGACTTGCTATTGACTTCAGAGGCCTTAATGCTATAACTCGGTGGGATGCTGAGCCTATGCCCTTAATAGATAGCGATCTACACATTTTATGACTCTTCCTTCTTTTCAGAGATTGATATTGCGCAGGCATATCAAGTAATGTTAGATCCTTCTTCTAAGCAGTACACTGCTTTTCCTACACACCAAGGACTGATGCAGTATAGAACTATGCCCTTCGGTTTGGTAACTGCCTGTGCTACCTACGTGAGACTGATGAGGAAGGTCTTGGGTAATATGCCAAATGTTTCAGTTTATTTTGATAACATTTACGTAATGACATCCACGTGGGGCGAACATATCCAAACATTAACATCAGTTTTGCGTAGGTTACGCTCACATGGCCTCACTGCCAAGCCGAAGAAATGCTTTCTTGGGTATAACAAGATTAGATATCTTGGACTGATACTTTCTAATAACTCTCTGCAGCCTCTCCCCAGTAAGATCAAAGCTTTATTAGAATTTAAATTCCCCAAAACCAAGAAGCTCATGCATAGCTTTCTTGGTTCTGTAAATTTTTATGCATGGTTTATCCCAAACCTTACTGATCTTACAGGCATCTTATCCAACTTAAAAAGTCTGCGAAGGAACCTCTTGAACTTTCCGACGTAGCTCGGGAAAAGTTTAATGAGATTAGGGTCTTTCGAAAAGATACTTTTATACTTAAGATTCCAGATATTAATAAAACATTTTGTTTAAGAACTGATGCCTCCAATACTGGCTTAGGTGCAGTGCTACTACAATACCATGATGGTACTCCATTCCCTGTAAGCTTCCTAAGCCGGAAACTCCTTCCCGCAGAAACGAGACACTCCACCATAGAAAAGGAATGTTTGGCCCTTGTGTGGGGTATCTCTAAACTTAAATTTTATTTGCTGGGAAAAGAATTCATTTTAGAAAAGGACCACAAACCTTTGATATACCTAGAAACTTTTAAGGGAACCAACAGTCTCCTCTTGAGGTGGACATTGGCACTCCAGGCTTTTAAGTTCCATATTGTGTATATCAATGGTTCATCCAATTATTTCTGACTGTTTAAGTCGTGACAGTCGGTAGAAGATTTCTTGCCTGACGTGACTTCCATATGTTAGAACTTTTTTCCTCGCCTAGTCGTCTTGTACTCTTTGACTGTCTTGGTATGGGGGAGTGTGAGGGAAAAGTTCAATAGATAGGAATAGCGAGGGAGTATATAGTAACAATAGTTTCATTGCCGGCTACTTGTTAAGGTAGCTCCCGCTATCCCTTCCCCTCCTTCCCCCCCCCTCCCCGAAAGGTGACGTGTGGGGCTCCAGTCCAAACAGTAATCACTAGACTCACAGCTCCCAGCACTACTCTTAGATGACAGAGGGTCACCTGTCAATCAACGAGTAGAACTGATGGAGATGGACTAACGTCCTGAGACTTCCCCTTTTTGGATTTAATTACCTGTGCACCTGTATGAAATTTTCTATATAATAGTGTTTCTGTTATTTCTTTTTCTATTCATTAATTTTCCTGAGGAGCCAGCCTTGGTAATACTGCCTGAAGTTATTACAGGGCTGAGTAAGCCTTCACAGTTTCATTGCTGAAGTTACGCAGTTGCAAACTGAATATACTGAAGTAATTATTAAAATACTAAATCGTCCTTGTGGTCTTAATAGTAAATTGACAAATGTACTAAGGAACTTCTCAAGGTGTTCAGTGCTTGAAGTTGTCCCTGCAGAATGTCCTGAAGGAGGAGCTCCGTGTGTGGACGGTGTGTGTGTACCACTGGACAAGATCTGTGACGGTGTGCCAGACTGTCCTGACGCCTCAGATGAGATTAACTGCGTCTGTTGTAGAGTAAGTGTTCAAAGTAAGGCTAATTTTTTGCAATTTTCCAACGTATTTAAGTATGAAAGATTGAAAATAAAGAATTCGATTTTACACATCATGCATAGTAGGATGATGCAGCCCACACGCAGACTCCAATTTCTGCATGTCTTAATTAACCTCCAGATGTAGGACCTCATCACACCTGTAGAACTTTCAATTTCCAATTAGTGTTTATTGAAATTGTAGTTTTTTTCACTGTTCACTAACGGCCCCTTTAAGGGCGAAATTGCAGGCCTTTAGAATGCACAAATAACCTTCATTGCTACATAAATTCAATCCCGGATTTTACCTAGAAAGCTTAAAATCCCTCTACCTGTATTAGCGAGCAGGTGAGACGAATCTTAATTTACTACGGGAAAATTAGACATTGGTCCCAAATCTGTACTGAAATCACTTACGAAAGCAGATTATGCAAAATACTACCAATGACTGGCAAAGGTGCCGTGAGTGCAGAGGTAATACTGTAAGGGGTACCAAGATTCTCAACAGTATCAGCCTGGATGATCAGGCCTTGATGCATCAGGCTGCCTGGTTTGGAACCTGCCCGCGGGGGCACTGACCCTGTAAGGGACATAAAGATTGAATGTGTATCAGGAAGGTGGAGACATGAAGACTTGATATCCTTGAACGATTGTCAGAGCTGTAATATCAAGGTTATTTATCACAGCTGTAATATTATCGCTTTACAGTACCTGTCTGGGAGCTCTCCAGAGAAGGTGTGTGATGGGCGGCTGGACTGCAGTGACCAGAGTGACGAGGCTTACTGTGGATGTCAACCCTCCAGCCAGTGGTTCAGGTGTCATATGTAAGTCACATTTCACACATCTTTCAGAGAACTGAAGAATTTGCTATTTTTTTTTTCTAAGACATTAAAGAAAGTGCCGAGATTCCACTAGTTTTCAAACTGTGTACTGGTAAACTATAAAATTAGCGCTGTAGTAAATGAAAATCTTAACTTTTGTCTTCTGAGTACTTAAACTATTCGTTGGTTCTCACTTATCCTGCCCTCAAGGTAGGTTCCTTGATGCTGGTGAGGGGCTCTTGATCTAGGGAATTGAATCAATGCTCCAGTTCCCCGAATTAAGCCTGAATACATTCCACATCCTCCCCCCCCCCACAGGCGATGTATAATCGTGCTGGTTTAGCGCTCCCCCCTTGATTATAATAATCTCGCTTATCCTTCACGCTCATGAATAATACTTGCTGTAATACCACTGCTTGAAGTAACTCCCACCGAACCAATCTTGCTACTAAATTAGACACATGTGCAACTCTTGTATCTTTATTGAGGAAACGTTTCGCCACACAGTGGCTTCATCAGTCCATACGTAGGAGAAACTTGAACAGGAGGAGAATGAGGTAATCAGTCCCTCAACCTTGAGTCGATGTGTTCAGTCCATCAATCTTGAATAGAATACCAATCTTGAATATTCTATTCAAGATTGATGGACTGAACACATCGACTCAAGGTTGAGGGACTGATTACCTCATTCTCCTCCTGTTCAAGTTTCTCCTACGTATGGACTGATGAAGCCACTGTGTGGCGAAACGTTTCCTCAATAAAGATACCCACGAGTTGCACATGTGTCTAATTTATCAACATGTCGGTTCTCTGAACCATTCATCTACCAATCTTGCTACCTTCACACCCCTGACGACTGACTCCTGCGAGGGGCTCTCGATCTTAGAAATTTAACTTTTTCTTGGATCTAATCTGAATCTAGTTAACCTTGGTGCTGCATTACCTTCACTGGTTGTGATCATACTATCCCTCTGAGAATATCCTCCTCCCCCCCCCCCCCTCTCCTTTTGATCCACCATCCTGATCAGTTCATCTTGCAGGTCAGAGTCGCAGGAATGTGTAGAAAGGACACAGGTGTGTGATGGAGAGAGAGATTGTCTTTCAGGAGAGGATGAGCAACATTGTCTGGCTCTGTCACCAGCAGTGTTGGTGCAGGAGGACGTCTTAGGGTGAGTACTGACCGGCTCCGCAGTAGATTAAAATTTTCTAAACACGAGTGATGCAGATTTTGCGGCGAGTACGTAGTATTGGCAACATTTTTTGAATAACTTTTAACAAACGATATAAGAATTGATACAACAAGCCTATTGCCCATGCTAGGTCAGGTCATCGATTTGTGTACCTTCCCAATTTGCATTTAAATGTGCTAGGTCTTTCCCCCAACGAAGATTCTGTTTTTAATCTACAACGCGTGCTAAACTAGTGCTTTTCTCTATCAAAGCTAAGCGCTAAACTCAAAAGGGCCATACAGCGTTGCTGCTTTCCTCTAATTTCTAAATGTATATTTTACCCAAGTTCAATCCACTGGCTAGTCCTGGCGTAATGTCCACATCATTTAAATCTGTTATATTCCAGTGTTGCACTTGTATTCTCGTAATGACCCTAATTGTACCAAGTACAAATTCACTGCCGTCAGCCTATCTGGTGGAAATTTTTGTAATGTGGAGACCAGAAATGAGCAACATAATTTACCAAGTATATTACAGGTTCCAATATAACCTTGTTTATACCTCTTAATACGAAACAATTTTTTTCTAACCCAGAACCAGTCTTGTATTCATTGTGACTTAAGATCAGTCATTAGTATTAGCGCTAGTTTTATTTCCCTAGAATTAAAGTTTACATTTGTCTGCCGTGACCTGCTTCTGTGACCACTTTAATAACCTATCTAAATCATCCTGTAAATGTCTAGTGAAGTAAGATATTTTCACGGCCTATTTTAGTTAAATTCGTCTAGGTTTCACTCTAGATTTTTAGCTCGTTACTTTCTATAGATATGAAAGAAACCCATCTGAGGTACTGCATTTGAATGTGTGATGTGCTACAGTAGTAGTTCTAGGAAATGTGGTAAAGATCACCATCAGCAGTGTGTGACATGTTTAGATTGCCTTCATTGAGGACAGTGTTGCCTTTACTTTGAGATTCTGGCTGGCGTATTGAGGCCTCTGTGGAGACGGTTTTATCCCTGGAAGCAAAAGTGGGAATGTACCACAGTATAGTGGTGATAATTCTATTATATGGGTGTGATTGATTGAGGATCAAATGTCACAGCAAGGAGTGTGTGGAGATAGAAAATTTGAGGGCGATGTGTAGTGTGCAGTATGCAGAGAATTTGAAGCCTGGAGATTAGGTGTAGGGTTTAAAGCACAATTCAGAATGTGGATGTTACCGAGGTGGGCATTGAGGGAATGACCCAAAACAGGATTGTTAGTTGTCGTACCCTTGCTGACGGCTGTATTTTGTTACTTATCAGAGTATGATAAAACAGATGTCCGAGGATAGCTAGTTTTGTCTAGGGGAATGAGACTGCTAGAATGTTTAGAAAGCTTGACACTTGATGGGACGGGGGCAAGGAGTTTGACGGATTTTAGTCCCCAGCAATTAGAGATCAGATCACTGGAGCTTGGATTAGTTGTCACTTCATTTATTAATGAAGTGTTTGAAAATAGAAATACTTACTTTGTTACTATTTGATGTAACAAATACGTGTGATTGAAGCAATGTTATATTTAGAGGCTGAGACACTTCATTCTCTTCAGTAACATTAAGCTTGTAACAGGGTTTACTGCATAGTACTTCAATATGGTCAATAAACTGCTGGTTGTAGATATTTTAGGTAAGAGGTGGGTGCAGGAGGCACTGTGCTGAATTAACGAGGATGTCTGGAGTGCGTGTAAGAGACCTGAAAGGGTTAATTAGGAAAGTTTATTGTAGCTGGAAGTCTAAGCTAAAGTCTTGCATATTTAATAAACTAATTTTGCTTCCTCGTATCTCTCCTTGGTCAGGGTTCCGGAGAACCATCCACAAGGGTACTTGCTAGTGCGGCTATCAGGTATGTGGTACACATACTTGTACTCCATGTGGAAGCCTTACCTTTCCCACTTGGTGTGTCTGCAACTCGGCTACTACAAGGCCATCAAGACTGACCCCAGAAGCCTCAACCTGCCAGTGGTGACAAAGGCAGCAAGATCCTTGGATGATGGTAACAACGACCTCTTCAACCCCTGGAACTACCGTGTACAGAGGACAGACAACAATACTGTCGTTCATATTAAGTGTTTGGAAGAAGATCCCTTGGCTGCACAGGAACGTAGCAACTGAAAGTTCAATTTAAAGTTAATGTACAAAGTCTCGGAAGATAGGCAGTTCAAAATTTTGCAGGTTGATAGTCCTTGTATTACACGTACCTCCTAGTATAGGCTTGTAGAAAATTTAAAACAAATGTTTAGTGTACGGTAAGTGAATACCTGTTAATTTTGTGGTTCATCTTTCGTAATCTAGGCCATTTTAAGTTTCGGTTTTTTATGAAATGGGCTTTTGTACCATCTAGTCAGATTTTTTTAATTTTCAACGTAATGTTAAGAGGGAATTTCTTGTTAAAAACTGTTTATTGGTTGTGTAAAGCTTCAATACTTCCTGAAGCTTTAATATATAGTCTGGTACAGATTTTAAATGTTAATGTTGCTTATACTGTTAATCTCGAGTATTTTGTTTTTAACCTGTATATTTTAGTTTAAAATAAAATAGAAAACCATCCACTCTTCTGAATCATGATTGAGTTATGACGTTCGAAAAGCTTTTTGAGATCAGATGAATAGTAAAGTATTTCGTAAGGAACTTTTTCGAAGAATTTACTTTGTAACACTGGAGCAGTGAATCTAATTTCAGCGCCAAGGTAACAGATAGCAGCAACGCCCCCCCCCCCCCAGCCAGGTGACTGGTGGCAGCAGCGCCCCAGCCAGGTGACTGGTAGCAGCAGCGCCCCAGCCAGGTGACTGGTAGCAGCAGCAGCAGCGCCCCAGCCACGTGACTGGTGGTAGCCAGCAGCGCCCAGCCACTGACGTAGCAGCAGCCGCCCCAGCCACGTGACTGGTAGCAGCAGCAGCAGCAGCGCCCCAGCCAGGTGACTGGTAGCAGCAGCAGCAGCGCCCCAGCCAGGTGACTGGTAGCAGCAGCAGCAGCGCCCCAGCCAGGTGACTGGTAGCAGCAGCAGCGCCCCAGCCAGGTGACTGGTAGCAGCAGCAGCAGCGCCCCAGCCACGTGACTGGTAGCAGCAGCAGCGCCCCAGCCAGTGACTGGTAGCAGCAGCAGCGCCCCAGCCACGTGACTGGTAGCAGCAGCAGCGCGCCCAGCCACGTGACGTAGCAGCAGCAGCAGCGCCCCAGCCACGTGACTGTAGCAGCAGCAGCGCGCCCCAGCCACGTGACTGGTAGCAGCAGCAGCGCGCCCCAGCCACGTGACTGGTCAGCAGCAGCAGCGCCCCAGCCACGTGACTGGCTAGCAGCAGCAGCGCCCCAGCCACGTGACTGGCAGCAGCAGCACGCCCCAGCCACGTGACTGTGGTAGCAGCAGCAGCGCCCCAGCCACGTGACTGGTAGCAGCAGCAGCGCCCCAGCCACGTGACTGGTCAGCAGCAGCACGCGCCCCAGCCACGTGACTGGTAGCAGCAGCAGCGCCCCAGCCACGTGACTGGTAGCAGCAGCAGGCAGCACGCGCCAGCCACGTGACTGGTAGCAGCAGCAGCGCCCCAGCCACGTGACTGGCTAGCAGCAGCAGCGCGCCCAGCCACGTGACTGGTAGCGGCAGCAGCAGCGCCCCAGCCACGTGACTGGTAGCAGCAGCAGCGCCCCAGCCACGTGACTGGTAGCAGCAGCAGCGCCCCAGCCACGTGACTGGTCAGCAGCAGCAGCGCCCCAGCCACGTGACTGGTAGCAGCAGCAGCGCCCCAGCCACGTGACTGGTGGTACGCAGCAGCAGCGCCCCAGCCACGTGACTGTGGAGCGCCAGCCGAGTCAGCAGCGCGCCCAGCCACGTGACTGGTGGTGAGCAGCAGCGCCCCAGCCACGTGACTGGTAGCAGCAGCAGCGCCCCAGCCACGTGACTGGTAGCAGCAGCAGCGCCCCAGCCACGTGACTGGTAGCAGCAGCAGCGCCCAGCCACGTGACTGGTAGCAGCAGCAGCGCCCCAGCCACGTGACTGGTGGTAGCAGCAGCAGCGCCCCAGCCACGTGACTGGTAGCAGCAGCAGCGCCCCAGCCACGTGACTGGTAGCAGCAGCAGCGCCCCAGCCACGTGACTGGTAGCAGCAGCAGCGCCCCAGCCACGTGACTGGTAGCAGCAGCAGCGCCCCAGCCACGTGACTGGTAGCAGCAGCAGCGCCCAGCCACGTGACTGGTAGCAGCAGCAGCGCCCCAGCCACGTGACTGGTAGCAGCAGCAGCGCCCCAGCCACGTGACCTGGTAGCAGCAGCAGCGCCCCAGCCACGTGACTGGCTAGCAGCAGCAGCAGCGCCCCAGCCACGTGACTGGTAGTAGCAGCAGCAGCAGCGCCCCAGCCACGTGACTGGTAGCAGCAGCAGCAGCAGCAGCGCCCCAGCCACGTGACTGGTAGCAGCAGCAGCAGCGCCCCAGCCACGTGACCGACGAAGCAGCAGCAGCGCCCCAGCCACGTGACTGGTAGCAGCAGAGCAGCGCCCCAGCCACGTGACGGTACGAGCAGCAGCGCCAGCACGTACGGAGCAGCAGCGCCCCAGCCACGTGACGGCGAGCAGCAGCAGCGCCCCAGCCACGTGACCGACGGAGCAGCAGCAGCGCCCCAGCCACGTGACCGTAGCAGCAGCAGCCCAGCCACGTGACTGGCAGCAGCGCCCCAGCCACGTGACGTGGTAGCAGCAGCGCCCCAGCCACGTGACTGGGGTAGCAGCAGCAGCGCCCAGCCACGTGACGTGGTAGCAGCAGCGCCCCAGCCACGTGACGGGAGCAGCAGCGCCCCAGCCACGTGACGGTGGTAGCGAGCAGCGCCCCAGCCACGTGACGTGGAGCAGCAGCCCCAGCCACGTGACTGGCAGCAGCAGCGCCCCAGCCACGTGACTGACGAGCTAGCAGCAGCGCCCCAGCCACGTGACGGTACGTAGCAGCAGCGCCCCCAGCCACGTGACGGTGATGAGCAGCAGCGCCCCAGCCACGTGACTGGTGGTAGCAGCAGGCCCCAGCACGTGATGGTAAGGTAGCAGCAGACGCCTCCAGCCATCGTGACTAGGTGGTAGCAGCAGCTGCCAGCCACTAACGGTGGTATGCAAGCCTCGCAGTGACTGGGGTAGCAGCAGCGCCTCCAGCCACGTTTGACTGGTGTAGCAGGCCCAGAACTGACTTAGGTAGCAAGCTGCGCCCAACTTACGGACTGGTTAGCAAGAGCTGCTACTCCAGCAGTGACTTTAGGTGTAACAATGACACGTCCCCAGCAGTTGACTGGTGGTAGAAGGAGCACTGATGGTCAATTACAGAGCTGCCCCTACCACTGATCTTGGTGGATAGCGATACGCTCCCATTCCACAGTGTGTGGTAAGACCAAGGTTAGACCTGGTGTTGTAGCAGAGACCACCACGTGACTGGTGTACACACGCCCCACACTACTGGTACAGCAGTCGCCAGCCACGTGACTGTGATAGCAGCAGCCCCCACACACTGACTGTGGTAATCAGGCCAAAACGTGCTGTGTTAACAGTAGGCCACCACGTGATGTGGTGCAGAGGCCAGAGTGACTGTGAGTAGCAGAGGCCGCAGGTGGTGGAATGCCCACAGTGCTGTGGTACAGCAGCTCCTAGGCCAAATAACTGTGTAAGCACTGCGCTCCCCACCACGTATTGTGGTAGCAGCAGCAGCCCCAGCATGACCTCCGTGGTACAGCAAGCCCTACCAGTGACTGGTTAACAAGCAGCGCCCAACCCGTACTGGTGTAGCAAAAGCGCCCCATGCCAAGTGAACTGGTTACACACGCCCTTAGCCCTGACTGCATGAGCAGCAGCTGCAACCTCCAGCACTGACTGGTAGGTAGCACATGCGCAAACCAGCCACGTGACCTGAGTAGCCACGCAGCCTCCACACGTGACTTTGTTGAGCTAGCGCAGCCCAGCCACGTGACTGTTAGCATAGCAGACACTGAAGCAGCCCAGCCGTGAATGTTACAGCAGCAAGCAGCAGCGTCCCTAGCCACGTGACTTAAGAGCCAGCAGCAGCGCAGCTCCCAGCCACGTTCACAGCAGGCAGCAGCGCGCAGTGACCACGGACATGTACAGCAAGCTACAGCACACGCCCCCACGTGTGGGTAACTAGCAACACAGTCGTGCCCCAGCCACTGACGATAGACAGCTAGCAGCAGCATGAGCAGCAGCCAGCAAGCGCCGTCGCGGACCAGAGCAGTGAGCGCCCTGAACGTAAACATGACAGCAACCAGCGTAGAAGTGCAACACCAGCACGTGAGTGTGATAAGAGCAAGCCCCGCATTGTCCGTTGGCAAGCATCACCCGCACAGTTGCACCGGGGGGCGCCAAACCATTTGCCGACAACCAAAAAGTGACTTTAGTATAGAATACTACAGGTTTCAGTCGATGATCGCAGAACGAGCCCCACCCTTTTTGAAATAGCATACTTCCACCAGGTTTCCAAAGAAAAGGTAGGACCTAGTGGTAGTGAAGCAGAAAACTCACACTTTCTCCGGTTTAACTGAGGAAAACATTTGTCCCTTAATAAAAAATCTCATCAAATTTTAAAATTAGCTTTCATATCAGTGTTGAGGAGCCTTAAAAGGGGTCGCGCCGGGGCCATTGAACTTAGGGAATATCGCTTATTAAATTTTTAGATCTAAATTCGCTCTTCACTTGATGTTTGACGTTATTAGATAACAAGGAGTAATTCAATGTTATGTAAAGGGAACTAATAAAATGGAAATCCTTTCTTTGAGAGCTTTTCTCAATTTCACGAGCTACTAGAACTAAGTTTAGGATATGTTATAACCACTGTACAAATTTCCGCAGAAGCGATTTAATAATAGGAATAAATTTAACTACACTGAACATAGTATTTGAGTTAATTTTTAAAAATTAGTATGGTTTATGAAGCTTCTGGATAAGAGGGGGTCGCCGCCTCCGGTCCCATTTTGGCAATTCAGTGCGAACTTTATTCAGGTCACAAAGTTGGCAAACTTACGGCCGGTCTGCTGAAGAACTTTGTCTTAACTTGCAGTAATGTGACGTTTATTTGTATAAATGGAAACTAACTTTCAAATGTTTTGATGTCGGTAATGGGATCTTGATCAAATAACTGGAGCTGTCCTACCTCTTCTTTTGGATGGAATGCGATTACCTCCCATTCCCAGGTGATGGAAGAACCATAAGGGTTTAGGACCTAGGTGTTGTAGGTAGAACCACTTGTTAAAATCTTCGCCCAATATCTTCCAGTTAAAAACTGAGGAAATAAAACTCTAAGATACAATCTTAAACTTTTAATCAATAAAGATCTTTTAACAGTTAGTTTTGTACACTAGTGTATGGTGAGAGGAGATGTATATAGAAGTAGGGGAGGGGGGGGGGAATGCCTTCAATTCTTGGTACTTCTGCTTCTTAGGATAAATAAATTTTCTTAGATTAAACTGCCTCCCCTTCCCTTTATTGTTTTAGCGCATTCTCAAGATGACACTCCAGTGTCAGAACATACCAGTGCATTATAACTAAACGCAAAACCCACAGGGGTCAAAAATGCAATAATGCCGTTCTACTCTGCTCTTTTGCTGCTCAATGGCACAGTGCAACCTCTCAGAACTTGAGTGGAGGTATACATGGCAATAACCTAGATCACTGTACCTATGTTGCCACGCATGTCAACGGCGATTTTTTTTTACTAGTTAGGATAAGTACACTTTAATGCTGACACTGAAGCAGGTTCTAGAAATTTACATTAACCTATTTCTAAAGTTTCCTTATGGCAATCATTAAGTGCCAGTCTCTTGGCCCTATCTCCCAAATTCTTAAAGGTGGGGGGATGAACCAGACATTTGTCTAAGTAACACTCCTCCATTGTGGGTTAATAGAAAGTTGTTGCAGCCATGGTAGACAAGTTTAACCTTGTTTAGCTAGAAGTGTCAATATATATCCCTGTCATTCCACCAATATTCTCACTATGGAAAGTCTCTTCTACCTAGGGTGAAATCTTTTTAGTGTTAAGATGCCTTGTGGGAGATTTAATTACATTCGTGGGGATAATGGGAGGTATTCCGGCTAGATTAGAGGAATTGCAACACGGGTCCAAATCTTAAAAGGAACCATTCTTGATTATTATTATTATTATAATCAAAAAGAAGCGCTAAGCCACAAGGACTATACAGCGCTGCAGGGCAGGAAGGAAGCGAGGGCATCAGGTGGCAAAAGGGAGATGGATGAGTAATAGGTTACGGATAACAGCAGGGTAGTGGATGGTGAAAAGGTAAAGGACAGCAAGAGACTGAACTAGAAAGGGCTGAGGGGAGTGCGAAAAGTATCATCAGAGTTTGTGGAGTAAATCAGTCGTTGTCAAGAAGTCAATGAGAGAGTCAGGATTAAAGGAGGGTCCATCAGCAAGAAGGGAAGGTAGAGAGAGTAGTAGAACGAAGACGATGTTGGAGGTAAATTCTGCGTGCTCGTTGATAGAGGGCAGTCTAACAGAATGTGGCTAATCGATACTGGAACTTGACACTGCTCACAGAGAGGAACAGGGTGCCTCTCCATGAGATACCCATGAGTAAGACGAGTGTGACCAATGCGAAGGCGGGAGAGAGTGGTCTCCCAACCTCGGCACTGATGACAAGAAGACGGCCAGTAACCTATGCTCGGTTTAATAGAATGAAGTTTGTTACCGAGCAGAGTTGACCAACGTTGTTGCCAACAGGTGCGAAGGTGGGTAGCTATTGCAGCAAAATAGTCCAGAAATGGAACACCTCGATAGGAAATTGGTAGGTCATGTACTGCTGACCGCGCAGCAGTGTCTGCCTGTTCATTGCCCTGTACGTCGACATGACCAGGGACCCAACAAAAAACTATCTTTGTTTGGTAGAGATACGGCATAGCCAAAGTTGGATACGGAGAACTAGGGGATGAGATGTATCAAATTTTCGTATAGCCTGTAGAGCACTAAGGGAGTCTGAGACTACTACAAATGATGACACAGGCATAGATGCGATACGAATAAGTGCTGCAAGAATGGCATACAGTTCAGCAGTAAAAATGCTAGCTGAAGATAGTAAATGTCCCCGCACGACGCTGTCTGGAAACACTGCTGCGAATCCGACGCCGTCTGAAGACTTAGAGCCATCTGTGTACACAGCGGTGGCATGAGAATGGGAGTGGAAGTGATCAAGAAAAAGAGCGGGAAGCCACCGTAGGCAGTTGAGCTTTCGAGCAAGGGAGTGAGAAAGAACAGACTTGAGAGACTTGGCTAAAGTTCTCCCTCTCTTGTCTGCATTTGTATATCCCCCATTACATCCCTATTTAACTATCTCACGTTCAGCGTTGTCTTTTGCATCACTTGGTTAAAGTTTTATTCAGGGCAGAAACTGAAGCTTGCAAGGGAATTAAACGCCTGAATAAAGAGCCTGTCAATGGAATCCCTAATTCATTGTAACGCAGGCGTAGTCTAGACATGAGAAAACAGCCACTCGATTGCTATTTATAAGTTAACAGCTCGACAGACTAGTTTGTTTCAGGGAGAATGGAAGCAGTTCTATTTGTACACAGTATCTGACAATGTTGCAACCTGATTTGTAACCATTTGGACTCCCAGAGGATCACTGGACTAACAGGATTCTCCAAAGACAGAATCTGATTAAAGAAGCTTCAATAAAGTCTTAATTATCTTGATTCTTTAGGAAGATGTGTTCAGAACCCCAGATGGTCCTGCCTTCGGGAAGCTCTCAATTTAGTAATGTGGCACAGTAGTGATGACTTCAGCTTATTCACTATTACTACTATAAACCAGCCTAGTGATGGAAATTAAGTTAATTCTTTCAACATGTCAAATTTAATATGTAATTTACTTTAGTGCTTCAGCAAGACAAAGAAAATTGTGAAACAGGTGGAAGGCGGTGTGCAAGGACTAGGATCCCAGAACTACAATGACTCCTGTGCAAGTCTTATTTATGCTACCTGAATCTAGTTATAATAAAGCGCTAAACCGACAAAGGTCATACAGCGCTGTCAACCTTCCCAAATCAACAAAATAAAACAGACCTCATTATTTTGGAGTTACTAAACTTCAAATAATTGGTCTGTCGGTAACAATTAAAAAAAAAAAAACTAAACCTACAAGGGTAATCCTTCAAAGTTTGGTTCGTTAAACTTCAGATATACTGTATATTAAATACAATAAATTGTGTAAATATATTGTATATTGATTTACAGTAATATTTTTGTCAATGTATTGTCTTTAAATAAAGTATATATATATATATATATATTAGTAGAGCATATCTAATGTCCTCTATAAAATGAAGTATATTAAATATACTTCACTGCCGATTATGTATACAACGTATCTGGACGAATAAACGTTGTAGATCATCCCACGTTAATCATGCTTGCAGGAAACTACTAGCACAACGTTAACGAGGAAACTGTCAACTTTGATATAAAGCACTGGTGAGGGGGGTTGGGAGCAAGATTATGTAGATTTTCCACACCTAGTCCAAACCCAAGACTAGACGCGGCGGCGTTACCCTAGTGAAACTAACACTGCACGCATCATCCGCTGGGATCACACGTGAAACTTCTACTATATCAAGAAAGTTTACACTGTTTAAAGTTTCGCTTATTACTGCTTGTGCCTTATGGAATCAGCCGGAGTACTCTTTCTGCCACCGGTCTTCAAGCAGTTATGATCTTCTGGGATCCGCCCCAAACTCCAGGAAGAAAAAATTTCGTTCTCCCGGAGTTTCACCTGGTGATGAGGACCGTGTCCACCTGGGTGAGCCTGGTGAAGGTTTGTAGTGTGGGCATGCCGGAGGGGTGATGCAGCAGCTGCGGTGACGCCTGCAAGAGGGTTGGAGTGAAAGCCGGGGGTGAGAGGGGCTCAAGACATATGACCTCGGAGGCTGGACCACGGTGGTTTATAACCTCTTGGGTGGCCAGGGCGCTGTGACGCATACCGTAGATAAAGTACCATACCAAACCTGGAGGAGAGAAGGGTGTGGGAGAGTGAATCGGAATGTGCCAGTTGAACCCTAGTTTTCATTGACATTTAGTTATTCAATAATGCATTGATATTGGTAGAATTACCGACAATATATTAAAGTAAAAGGACAAGTGCAACTAATGTGACATTTTATTGTGGCAACGTTTCGCTCTCCACGAGCTTTATCAAGCCGTTACCGGCGAAACGTTGCCACAATAAAATGTCACATTAGTTGCACTTGTGTTCTTTTACTCTAGATTCATTGTTTCAAAAAAATTTAAGCAAGTCTTTTTTCTCTCTCAACCAGCAGAGTAATTGAAATGAAAAACCACTTAAATCTTATTTCCTAGTTTGTCCAATAAGGAAGTTAGTAATGCATAGTCTTTCATAATAAATCTATCAATCACCACTAATACCGTACCGGAGGGGTTCAAGGAGGCCAGAGTTACTCCTATCTTCAAGAAAAATAGTAGGTCTAATGTAAGCAACTATAGGCCTGTTAGTATACTCAGTATAATATCTAAAATTCTAGAGAGGGCAGTGTATTCTCAAGTAGTTAAGTACCTTAATGACAACAACATTCTCCATAGCTATCAATCGGGCTTTAGAAGATCCTACTCAACCGACACCTCCCTTATTAATCTGATGAATTACCTGAGAACTGAAATGTCAAAGGGGAACCTCATAGGTATGGTAACCTTAGACCTGCAAAAGGCCTTCGATACTGTCAACCACAATATATTATGTAATAAACTTCAAGCTATCGGTATAGGTTCTGTAGACTGGTTTAAGTCCTACCTTAGCAACAGGAGACAAATAGTCAAAATCAACAAAACAATCAGAACCCCTGCCGATAACATGTGGAGTTCCCCAAGGTAGTATTCTGGGTCCCTTATTATTCTTATGTCAATATGCCTATCAGTGTCAAGTGCAAACTCCTACTGTATGCAGATGACAGTGCTCTGTTAGTGTCAGGTAAAGACCCACAAGATATTGCTAATGTTTTAACACTGGAACTGGAGTCCTGCAGCAAATGGTTAGTAGACAACAAACTATCATTACACCTAGGGAAAACTGAAGCCATTCTCTTTGGCACGAAACATAAACTGAGAAGGGTAAATAATTTTAATGTTCAATGTAATGGGGAGCCCATCACTTTGGTTTCATCAGTAAAATATTTGGGAATCCCCTTTGACCCATTCATGTCAGGAGAATTGATAGGGAACAGTGTAGTAAAGAAAGCGAATGCCAGACTGAAGTTCCTGTATAGACAAGCACAGTGTCTACCTACTGATGCTCGCAGGACCCGATGTCTAGCCCTTATACAATGCCATATGGATTACGCTTGCTCTTCTTGGTACTCTGCCTCGACAAAAAACTGAAAGATAGACTGCAAATCACCCAGAACAAAATCATAAGATTCATCCTGGGGCTGGGACAAAGAGAACATGTAGGCCAGGATGAATTACAGCAGTTGGATATGCTGAATGTTGAAGACAGAGTAAAACAACTGAAGCTAAATCATGTTTATAAAATTGCTCAAACAATGTCCAGAATATCTTGCTGTCAATTTTGTCAAGGTTGGGAACCAAAGCAATCATAGTACTAGGGGGAGAGAGCACAACTTTGTAGTACCCACAGTCATTGGACAGGCTTCAAACACTTTTTATTGTACAGCAATAAAGGAATGGAACAGACTGCCCGCACATGTCAAAGCCAGTCATGGCATGAACCAGTTCAAGAAGAGTGCCAAAAGGTGTCTGATGAATGTAGCTACAGAAAGGGAGGGGAATGATTTTCTATTTAATATACGTGTAAATTTTACCATATTCCTAGCAATGACCTTGGTGTAGTAGATAGTCTTTTTAGTATGATAATAAGATGTTATCTTCATTGTAGAATAAGAAAATATTATAACCTTTATATTATAATAAGGTAAAAGGACCCCAATGGAAATAAGTCACTCTCTGACTTTTTTGGGTTATCCTAGGTTCTCTACACATATGCTGCTATGTATGATAATTCTATGTAACTGTATTTGTGTATACCTGAATAAACTTACTTACTTACTTATTAGGTTAAAACTTTTCTATCCTACTAGCTTGTGGCTTAGCGCTTCTTTTTGATTATAATAATAAATCTATCCTACTAGGATTGAAAATCCAGAGATTTCAGTGTGGACAGGCAAGTTTAGGGGTAGATGGTAGGGAGGATAACTTACCTAATGTAGTATAGAGAGCAAGGATCACCCAGGAGTGCCGGAGGACCTGTACTAAAAGGATAACATTGAGGAGGAGGGCAGCTGCAGGGAGCCACGGTGCAGCAGGTATCCTGAAGTAGGCACTATGGGTGGCACGAAGGGTGGGCAGGCGGGTGAGTAGTGCTACCAACAAGAGCGCTGTCAACATGGACGTTGACAATACCACCACCAGGAATGGATGGTCGCGTCCGTCTCTCCAGCCATACACGGCCACGACTGCTGCCACAGTTACTGTAGTTAAAAGAGCAGCCAAGGCTACACACGCCCGCCGTGCCGTGGCTACTGTCGGAGCACGGGGCACGCCTGTGTCTAGTGTGGCCACCTTAAGCTTCTCCTGGTACTCTGCTACTGCTGCATCAATGTCGTCCTCTGCTTCTGTGTCTGTACCGTACCCAGACGCTGACGACTCAGAGTCCGACCCAGCTGTCTCTCGACTGCCAGAGTGAATTTCCTGCCCCCGGGCCACGACCTCGCTGCTCTGATGCTCGGGGTCAGTGAGAGGGTCCAAGTGCTGGTCTTGGGAGTTACTGAGGAGTGGGGCAGTGTCGCGTGTCTCGGTCTCCAGACCACTCACACCACTTTCAGAGTCCGGAGAGGTGGCGGCGACAAACTGCTGAGTTCTTACTCTCTGAGGTAACACCCGCATCCCATCCTGTGGAATAATCATCTCAATTATTTATGTATCACTATATGGTCCGCCAACATGCCGGGTCCATACACTGCGCCTGTCGGAGTTCATATACTCAAACCCACAGTGTTACACATACAATCTCCTTATTTAAGCACTTCATGTAATTTGCCTTCCCGTATCTTCCTGTATGCCACCAAAGTGGCGTACAGGAAGGCTACAGACAAGCTGCCATCACACGCCTTAAGATTAGAACAAAATATCAACAAATCTGTCTCATCCCACTGAGGCAGGGTGACCTAAAAAGGAAAACTAATTTTAAGCCAGCCCGTAATGCTATGCATGTAAGTGGCTTTAGCATGCTGCTCTTACCTGTATTTTTTGTACCTCTGTATGTATGCTTAAATTACTAAATAAATAAATAAATAAAACTAAATTTTTTCTTTTTAAATTTAACAACTTATACAGAAAGGGTTACTAGCTCTTTGCTCTAAACAAATGTATGGAAAAATTTCTATTATATGAACTTCGACAAATGTTACCAATGACGCAACACTAACATGATCAGGTGAATCACCTTTAATTATTATCGTTACATATAATGGTTAATGTAACAGTGTAAAGATTTGTACTCTTCCATTAGAGTAATTATTTCAGCCTTTGATCTACGCCATCCCCTGGTATAACTTCTCCCGACTTGAAAACTCTCGAGAGCGAAACGTCTTCAATAAAGGCTCGTATAATACATTTCTTAAATTCACGTGAATCTTATAGCCGTGTTGGGTGCTCGATCCTCCGTCTCCTTAAGCACAAAGTGGTGGAGGGTGACTCCTCTATCTACTATGGAGAAATATACTTATGACGACGTTTTGGTCAGATTTGGATCATTAACTAGTTAAAAGTAGGGCCGAAGCGTCATCACAAGTTTCTCCTATGTGAGGGTTGTCTATACTCAACTTTTAAACAAAAACCTTTGAAGAACAGCAGTCAACCACCTCAGCATCACTGCTCACCTTGAGAAAGTGAAGGGTCCTCTCCTGTCGCGAGTGTGGAGGGGCGACGCGCTGGTAGCTGTAGGGGGCGCTGCTGTAAGGGTTGCTGGAGGCTGCTGTGGCGGCCACGGAGCACAGGGAGCCATAGGAACAGCGGTGACGGCGATACATGACTACCAAAACGACAGCCACGTGCAGGCAGAGGGCGCACGTGGCCAGCACCTGGTAGACACCACGGCAGATGTAACAAACCTTAACATCACAGTGTGGAACACTGACAAGAGAGCACAATGTCTGGACACAGCTAGAACTTTGAATACTCCCAGTGCAAAAACCTGTCCGATAAAAATGGCATGAGTGCATCTACTGGTGTCCTTCCATCCATTCTTCACATTATGCCTTTGGATTGACAAGTCGCCCATTGGCGAAACTTCTACAAATAAAAATACCCAGATCTTAATTACGTGTAATTCATCGTCCTTTCATCCATACTGCCGGTATCTTTCTATCTTCTACTGTCACTGTGTAACGCTATATGTTGGAACCTACTCCAGAGGGTTTCCTGCGACTTCGTTAAGACTTTTCAATCTACATGCCAGGAAAAAGGCTCTCGATCCAAGGAATTAAACCTATTTTTCCCTTCCTAGCCTCAGACCTCCCATTTCCAAGGCGCTGTATGACCCTTTCCCAATGGCATAGGTTCCAACTATGAGGAAGGAACTTAGTATTCAGAGTCAGTTTACACATAACACTAAGAAAACGCTCAGAAATGTATCTAATACTGAGGTAAACACACATACCATTCAGGTCCTGAGAATCCACGAGGACCCTTATCAGAAAGTACAATACAATTTCCTCGCTACAGTACTATTTAAAGTCCCTAACTGGTCGCCCTCAAGTCCTAATGAGGTCCCTTCTCAGGTCCCGTTCAGGTCTCCCTCAGGTTCTCACCTGAAGAACGAGGACGTGGCTAAAGAGCAGAGCAAGAAGGGCGGCCAGTGTGCCGCCCACTAGGTGGGCGTGGGCGTAGGAGGTGGTTCGGGAACACTGGTGGGCGAGGCTGGCTGGCAGGAGACCATCTGTGGCCAGGGACACCAGCTGCCTGGAGAGTGGGTTCGCAGCCTCAACCAACGCCAGACACAGCATCACTACCTGTGGCGAAACAGAGGGTTACCTTCGTCTTGTGGGGGATGGTTCAAGGCTGTCTCGTGTGTGGGGGAAAGGAGAACTGTACTATCGGTGACATGGAGGGATGTTTTGTACAAGTTGCACCGTCTGCAGGAAGGAAGTAAGTTATTACCATCTCTGTGGAGAAGTCTGTGGTTGCTGTACCATCAACGGGGAAAGGAGAGTTCTGTAGAGGTTTTACCATGTATATCGTCCTCGTATCTGTCTGGTAGACACATGATCTTTGCATCACGTTTTCGTCCCAAAGCATGCGCTATTTCCCCCCCCCCCTGGGAAGAGTGTAGACCACATTGGATTGCAGAATGATTACGTGTAGCCTACAAAATTTAACTAGGAATACAGCAATATTTTGACAGACAAGATGTTGGCATGTCTGGACAAGGGCACAATTTTAAACGACATGCCTAGCTCATGCCTCGACAAAATGGATTGGGCAATTGTTTTTGCTGAGTGGGTTTGAGTCTGAGAAGGACCTGCTTAGTATGGGCCAATAGGCTTGCTGCAGTGTTCTATTCTTATGTTCTAAAAGACATGCCTGGAATTCCCTTCACAGTTATTGTTACTGGGTTACACTAGGATCAACCTACCTGGAACGACCCAAGTACGAGTCTTGCCCAGCCAACATCACGACGCTCCAGCGCCTGGATGAGAGGTGCGCCTTCAGGAGGTATCCTGTAATAAAGTTGGTAGAATTACCGACAATATGTAAAGTAAAAGGACACAAGTGCAACTAATGTGACATTTATTGTGGCAACGTTTCGCTCTCCAGGAGCTTTATCAAGCCATTGATGGCTTGATAAAGCTCCTGGAGAGCGAAACGTTGCCACAATAAATGTCACATTAGTTGCACTTGTGTCCTTTTACTTTACAGGAGGTATCCTATCAAGAGCAAGACGAGGTTATCCCTATACCAGACTCTCTTAACCGGTTACTGAATGTTGGATTCCCTTGGAGTCCTTCAAGAAAGAATAATGTAATTACATGGAATTAATTATAATTTAAAGGTTTATATTTCTAAAATTATGAAATGTGCGGTTAGCGATAATGAAATTTAACTAATACTATTTTAAGTCAGCTCTTTTATTAAGATCAACAATATACCGAGATATTTTTGCAAAAGTAACTTGAATATTAAATTTTTCAATGTCACTTGAAAAAAGCCGTCACGGTACATGCTATTCGATTTTCATTACACTTTTTGATTGCAAATTACAAAAATAGCTTTAAAACAGCCGACTCTATAATGTAATCACTCATAAATATAATTTTGCAGCTAAATATACTGATATATTAACTAATTTTTAACTTCACCTGCCTGCAAGTTTCGTTTTTTTGGGGGGATAATTTACTTACAGACGTATTTCCGTCACTGCCCGACCAGAGAATAATATCCCCGTATTCCACAAGCCTAGTCCCCTCTACCTCAACGTATGCAAAAGGAATAGTGGAGGGTGGTTATAAAATTCCGGTGCGGCAAAATACACAGAATATGTCCACGTGTATGACTGTGTGTCTGAATGTGTATGCTCGCTTATGTGTATATATGTACTCGCCTAATTGTGGTTGTAGGGGGTCGATTCACAGCTCCTGGCCCCGTCTCTTCACTGGTCACTACTAGGTCACTCACCCCCCTGCTCCTTGAGCTTCATCATACCTCTTCTTAAAGCTTGCATGGATCCTGCATCCACTACCTCACTTTCCAGAGTATTCCACTTCTGACAACTCTGTGTGTGCATATGCATGCTTACGCGTATAGGTAAGTAAATATTTTAGTATATATCCGTGTGCATATGTATAATTATGTATATAAAAAAATAATACCCAGTTTTCAAACTTTTTAACACCTGTGTCTCAAAACACCTGAAATGAAGAGTCCCCCTGTAATGAAGTTATACAGCGCCGGGGGAACGGAACGTATCCAGATTCCATACAAGGCACTTCAGGCCCAATACAATGGATCAAACAGCTTTCATGGGCATCAAGGAACCTTCCTTGAAGGTACTGAGCAGAGGGAGAGATTTACACCCTGGGCAGTAGAGTGGAAGGGTGCATATTTCCGGCGGAGGATACTTACACGTTGCCCGTCATGAGGGTGAGAACAATGCCCAGGGCGAAGGAGGCCAGGAAGACTATACCAGTGGCGAGGGAGAGAGCGAGAGCCATGGCTGTGTGTGGACGAGGCTGCTGCTTGGCCAGGCGACCTGTCTCGTAGAAGCCAGTGTAAAGCACCATGCAGACAGCAGCACCAGCCAGCAGCTACAACATAACAAGAAAAGTAAATAAAAAGTATCAAGGAAAATTTCCCCTAAATAAATTTTAAAGTCGAAAGGGACGACTATCGATAAAAAAAAAATAAAAAGGGTTTGGGGGGGGGGAATCGAACCGTGATTCCAAGTTAAAAGTTTTTTTTCGGGGTTACACAAATACACCCGATCTTTTTCCGTTGGGCCCTTTATTAATTAAGGTCCAGCGTTTTTGCCACTGGTACGGGGCCCTTTTTAAAAAACTTTCCCAAATTAGAAACCTGTTAATCTTGGGAAAACATTTTCGAGCTCCCCGTCCACCTCGGTTCTTCAAGAATATAATTCATTTGCAACAAAAAACACAAATATAATTTAGGGTCCCGGTTAGTGAATATAACTCAACTGCTTTTTTAAAAAAAAAATTCTCCACAAAAAAAAAAAAAGTTTAAAAAAACCGGATTTTTTAAGTTTTCCCAGTATTCCCTTTTAAAAAAAAAATTTCCCACCATTTTTTAAAGCCTTTATGCATACAAATTTACGAAAAAGAATTTTTTAAAATGAAAAAAAAAAAAAAAGCAAAAATTTGGGGAAATTGGGGGCCTTTTTTCCCGTTCTCTTTATACCTGTACCCTTAATGAAATTCAGGTAAAAGGTACTAGAAAAAGGTACTTTACTTACCTTGTAAAAATTAAAATTACCAAAGTTAATCCCCCTAAAAAATTCAAAGTGCCCTTATTCACGGACGGGTTTTGTAACTAACGTACAAGGGAAAACTGGGTTAAAGAGGAAACCCCCTCTGAAAAAACCAATTTTGAAGGCATGATGTAGGTGGGCATTTTTCGGTCATTTGTGGGTGGCACCCACCCCCAGGAAACACAAACCCAGCCCCAATTTACTGAAGACACACCCATAGTCACCCTCAGGAAGGGGGAAATTACTCCCCTCACCCCAGGGCAACAAAAAGGGGAAATAACGAAAAAAACCCAAAAATTTTAAAAACAAAGGGGTTTTTAAAAATAAGAAATTTACCGTGGCGGTACATTAATTTTCCTATCCCCCGCAAAAATCGTAAAACCAATTATTTAACCCAAAAATACCGGGGTTTTGGGCCAAATTTAAATTAAAAACCCAAAAAAAATCGTGTCGGAACACTTTTTTTAACCCCCAAAAATACCGGGGGCTGGAAAAAAAAAAAACCCCACAATCCCGTGGGTTTGGAACAATTTTTAAACCCCCAATGCCGGGTTGGAACAACTTTTTAAAACCCCCAATCCCCCGGGGTTTGGGGCCCAAATTAATTTAACCCAAATATCGGGTTTGGGAAAACAATTATTTAAAACCCCCAAAAAAACCTTTGGCTGGAACTTTAAAAACCCAAACCCCCCGGGTTGGAACTATTAACCCAAAATGCCGGGGTTTGGAAAAAACTATTTAACCCCCCCAATTTCCGGGGGTTGGAAAAAATTTAAATTTAACCCACAAAAACCTTTTGTTTGGAACAATTTTAAAACCCACAATACCGTGGTTGGAAAAAAATTTTTAAACCCCCCAATACCGGGGTTTGGGAAAATTTTTAAACCCACAATACCGGGTTTGGGAAAACAAATTTTTTAACCCAAAAAATACCGGGGTTTTGGAACAATTTTTTAAAACCCCAAAAACCGTGGTTGGAACAATTTTTTAAAACCCACAACACCATGGTTGGAAAAAATTTTTTAAACCCCACAATCCCCTTTGTTGGAACAAATTAACCCACAATACCGTGGTTGGAACAATTTTTAAAAACCCCACAAAATCGGGGTTTGGGAAAACAATTTTTTAAAAACCCACAATATCGTGGTTGGAACAAATTTTTTAAAACCCACAATTTCCGGGGTTGGAAAAAATTTTTTTAACCCCCCAATCCCGGGGGTTTTGGAAAAATTTTTTTTAAACCCCCCAAAAATACCGTGGTTGGAACAAATTTTTAAACCCCAAACAAATACCCGGGGGTTGGGAAAACAATTAAAATAAAAACCCCCCCTGGTGGGAAAACTTTTTAAACCCACAAAAACCGTGGTTTTGGAACTTTAAAAACCCCACAAAAACCGGGGTTTGGAAACAACGAAAAAACCCACAAAAACCGTAGCTGGAAAAATTTTAAAAAAAACCCCCTTTTTACCGTTTTTGGAAAAAATTTTTTAAACCCAAAATTTACCGTGGTTGGAAACAATTTTTTTTTAACCCACAAAAACCGGGGTTTGGGAACAATTTTAAAAAAACCCAAAATTCCCGTGGTTTTGGGAAAAACAATTTTTTAAACCCCAATACCGGGGTTGGAAAAACCCCAACAATCCCGTGGTTGGAAAAATTAACCCACAATACCGTGGTTGGAAAAATTAAACCCCAAAAAAATTCCGGGGTTTGGGAAAACAATTAACCCACAAAAACCGGGGGTTGGGAAAAAATTTAAACCCCAAAAAATCCCATGGTTGGAACAATTATTTAACCCCCCAATACCGGGGTTTGGAACATTTAACCCAAAAAACCGGGGTTTGGAAAAATTATTTAACCCAAAATTTAACCGGGGGGTTGGGAACCCTTTAAACCCCCAACAATACCGGGGTTTTTGGAAAACAATTTAAAACCCACAAAAACCGTGGTTTGGGAAAAATTTAAAACCCAAAAACCCCCCGTGGGGGAAAAACCCCACAATCCATGGTTGGAAAAATTTTTTTAAACCCCAAACAATACCGGGTTGGAACAATTTAACCCCAAAAACCCGGGGTTTGGGAAAACAATTTTTTAAACCCCCACAATACCGGGGTTGGAAACCCAATTTAAACCCACAAACCGGGTTTGGGAAAAATTTAACCCCCACAATACCGTGGTTGGAAAATTCCCCCACAATCCCCTTTGGTTTGGGAAACCCTTTAAAACCCAAAAACCAGGGTTTTGGAAAACAATTTTTTAACCCACAATACCGGGGTTTGGGAAAAAAAATTTAAAACCCACAATACCGTTTTTGGGAAAACAATTTTTTAAAACCACAATACCGGGGTTTGAACAATTTTTTAAAAACCCAACAATACCGTGGTTGGAATTTTTAAATTTAAACCCACAATACCGTGGTTTGGAACAATTATTTAACCCATTTTTACCGTGGTTGGAACAATTAAACCCACAAAAACCGTGGTTGGAAAAATTATTTAACCCACAATCCCCGGGGGTTTGGGGAACAATTTAACCCACAATACCGGGGTTTGGAACTTTTTAAAACCCCACAATACCGGGGTTTTGAAAAAATTTAAACCCAAAATTTCCTTTTTTTGGGGAAAAAATTTCAAAACACTGGCAAAGCAATTTTTTTAAAAAACTTTGGGTCCTTGCGGATACTGTCAAGTCGTGAACGATAATGGTTTGGCATAAACCCAAAAACTTATTTGAAGGTTTTTTTTTTTCCAAAAAAATGTTTTTAGTGAAACGTAAATAAATTTAATTTTTTTGTTTAACGCACCAGCTGTACCCCACCGGGGGGGGGTTGTCCGAAAAAAAAAAAAATAGTTTTTTTTTTTAAAAAATTTTAGTAATTTACACAGGAGAAGGGGTTACTAAAACCCCTTGCTCCCGGCTTTTATCCCCCTTTTAAAACGACATGCATGGTTTTACGGAGGGAAAAATTTCCCGGGTTTCATTCCCCCCCAGGGAAAGGTAAGAAAATAAACCAAAACCCAAAAATTTTAAGAAAGAAAATAAAAAAAAACCCCAGAGGGGTGTGTATATAATGCTTGACTGTATGTGTACGTGCCCCTAAGTGTAAGAAGAAAAGTAGCAAGCCCATCCCTTGTAATCTTGCATATTTATGAGACAGACAAAGGACACCAGAAACCCCTTAAAATCATGTAAAAAAATTTTAAAAGGGCTTTCGTTTTTTTTTTTTAACACTCACGGGCCCAAAACGGTGAAACCTTTCCCTGGGGGGTTTTGCTGTCAAACCAACCTATCCCTGCAAATAATTATTTATTTTAATTTTTTTTTAAATATGAAATGTGCTCTCCTGTCGTAAAATTTTTAAGTTTTAAAATTTTAGTAGGGGAATAAAAGTTTTTAAAAACCCCTCCCTCCATTTCATATCCAAAATTTTTCCTTTATTAAGACACAATCTTTCCCCCTTACTGCATGCATCGTTTGCATTCCCCCTTTTATTTTCCTGTATACCCCAAAATCTTTTCTCGCTGCTTGTTTTTCCTTTCACTCCTTCCCCATTTTTATTTTTCCATCTTATGTCTTAGGGTTTTAAAAACTGATCTAAAAAACTTCCTGTTTTTTACCCCCCTGGCTTTTCGTTTAGAGTACTGCATTCAGGGTTTCCTGGGGGTTTTTTCCCGGGGGAAATCAACGCCCCCCGGAAGCCCGGTCCATAAGGCCCCCTCCCAAAGGGATCAGGGCCTGATCAATTTGGGGCTTTTAAACTGCTGGCCGCACGCGTCCAACGTACGAGCCACACCCCCGGCTGACCCGGGAAAATGACTTTAGGTATCGGGTCCAGCTCTCTTTTGGGAAGGGCCCAGCCGGGGTTTTAGAAATTTCCCACTAATGTTTGGGTGGGGGGCTGTTGAACGGGTTTTTGGGCCCGGACACTTAGGTGTTTTCCCTTATTTGTACCAATGGCGCCCCTACTTTTTTTTGGGGGGCCCTTTTTTTTGGCATCGCCTCCCCGGGTCTTTTATTTTTGAAGGGAGTGATTTTCCTGTGTGCAGATTTGGGGCCCTTTTCCTTTCCCAAAATTTTTTCCAAGTGTAGGTTAGAAAAACTCTCCCCCCTGCGTTCCAACGAGTACAATAAATTTTTTCCAAGCGTCCCCAAAGTATTTAAAGGGTTTGCTTGACAAAAACTTATATTGCAGAAAAGGTTTCTTTGACACTCTCTAATCGAAATTTTTCACTCCCTTTTGAATGGAGGGGTTAATTTTACAGCATATTCCGCCTGGGAAAAGGAACAAGTATTTAAAAAAGGTTTCATCTTTGGGCCCTT